TAGTGGGTAGTACTGGTACCCTGGTCACGAATATGGCCTTCATTTTTGGCCCTGACGCCATTAGGCGCCGATTTGGTGGTGCACATTTTTGCAGCAACATCGATGAAAACTCGCATAAGATTTGCGCAGTCACGAATGTAGCATTCCTTTCTCGACACCATTAGCGCAGCGCTCAGGCTGAGCCAGGGCGAAAGAGTGATTCCCTTTTGGCCAGGCTCAGCCCTAGCATAGCGCAGATGATTGGTGTTTTTCATTGGCGCTCGCGCCAAGAATGAATGTCATACTCGTAATCAAATATTAATCAACCCTGGTATACAAGTTTTCAGCAAATTTGCTGTTTGAGCATTTTGGCGCGGGCGCCAGGCACTTACAGGCCAAGTGGATGCGGTATTCGTGTTCAAGAGGACAAACTGCCCCTGGAAACAAATTTTCAGCCAAATCTTTCGTAGAAAAACGTCGGTAAAAAGCTGCCCAGTTTCGAAAAAACTGGAGTAGCAATAGTTGAATAGTGCCGAGCAGTTTTTTGATAACTTTCGGAGCGCGCATTGTGGCGTTAAACAGCAGCTCTCATACTAAAACATTTTCAACGAAATTTCGTCTTTTTTTCCCGGAATTCGCATGTTCTGAGGCGCGATCTCCTTGTCCCTGACATGTCACGTTATCCTATGCGACATTTCCTAACACGAAAACGGTTGGTTATACTTCGCATAGACGCTCGCTACCACGGGTGCTAGTGTGTCATAGATTCCTTAGCCGCGCCATCTGTTTTCATGGAAGGTTGCGGGAAAGGATTGTTTACGTAACGATCACGTTCCGCGATTCTAAGAGTTCCGCGGCTTGCCCAATCCTTCAACGGCGCTGTTTATGCAGGGCCTGACACTCGAGCTTACTGAATCCATGGGCAGTAGTTCCATATCATCTGCAACTACTAGTCAGTTTAAGGACAAATTCCCGGATCAAGTGTTGTATATAGTAAGTGCTCAATCATGGACCCGTAGCCTATGAGTATCTACCCAGCACAGGACAGAGGACCCAATGGGGCGGCGACTTGGACGAGTTTGTTGGACGTCGGCGAGCCCTATCAGCAGGATTCCACGTGCAACCAATTCTCGGAGCACAGAAAATCACCCTACGACACTCCAGACAACGCTGTGTACGCATGCATTTCAGCTTTCAAGCGGTTATCTCGCAGAGCAGAAGTAATCGCGCTGCAATGGTTGCAATAGTCACGCGTTCCTAGCTTCTTTCTCTCACCGTTTCGAGTAACGAAAGTGGTATATTCTCTGCGAATGCGGACAATGCCAAATGCACGGAGGCGTTTGGAGACATTTGATCGCAAGAACTGTGTTCAGTTGATTACTCACTTGAATTTTCTCAATGTCCTACAGGAGCAGTCCATTGCCAGCTTTAATGAACGTCGTGGTGCTCGTGAAATCTTGCGCTGCTCTGGAGCGAGCTCTGGCAAGGCGGTAGATTTGCTTCTCTCCTTCTTTGGTATCCAGGTCCGCGACAGGAACTTTCTTGCTCTTAATGGCGCTAGCACTTGTCCATTTGGCTTCGCGGTACCTCATTCTAGTCTCTTTCCTAGGGTTGAGATGCCAAGCTTGCAGGTGATTTATCTCGAGTGCAATCTAATTTTAAAAAAGGAGCAGCTTCTCGCAAGATGCGCAGGCACATTTCCTACAAAGTCAGTGGGTTCAGTCACAACAACGCCTCCCCGGCTGATAGGCTGGCGAAAACCATTATCGCCCAAAACCGGATGATGTTCAGCATGAAAGAGTACTACATCCTGAACATTGTAGACCTTGCTCAGGTTGCATACTTCGCCTGAAAATAATGAATCTTCATTCGCTTCTCCTTTGTAAATTCAGTTGGTTATTGATTGTGTAATTTTTCGAAATTCTTTTATAGGATGAAGATCTGCTGGTGTTCGGCTACTCATCACGAATCTACCCTGCTGACGATCGTTCGGACTTCATAGCCGAGGAGCAACATCTGATCACGTCGCCGAACGATCCATCGTTACGCATCGATAGGTGTGTAGTGAATGGAGGCGCATACGCTACTCCTACAACAAACCTTGGAAGCTCCGTTTCAGGCTTTTAGGTTGAGGGACTGCAGATGCTGGCACCGCAAGATTCTGCAGGTATGTATCTAATTACTTAATTTCTCTATTCGTGACTTGCTTTCATATTTTAAACTGTAACCGTATTTGTAAGTGATCAACGCCAAAGATGTCGTAAACGAAACGATGGGAAATGTATTTTATCCATGAAAATAGTTAGGATATGTTGCGGATTAGGCAAGGCAGTCATACAAATGCCCAGCATTTCATGGGTTAAATTGCAAATGACTCCAGTATACGCGCCAGTGGTTTGCTCTATTTTCAGATATTTCTTTTCGGTTTTTCCGTTTTTCCTTCACCACATCGCCGAATAGTGTACTAAATCGAGTGCAGCTCTCTTAGTTTGTTTTATTCTTCAACAGTAGTATTCGTATTGCTTATCTCGTTATTTTAGGTCTGGTAAATCGTACAACGATCAAGCTGCCATGGTAAGGAGGCGGTGACGCCCCGCGTAAGTTCGACTCAAGCAGTCAAGCGGAAGATTTAAAATTTTTTGTGTGCAATATATTGTTCGATGCTGATGTATAAATTGGTCCATTTCACATCCTAACACGTTGTAACGCTTCAGGTATGATTGCCGCTTGCTACTTCCAATTGGTTTTGGTGAACGTTTGTGTACGGTCGAGGAAGAGTCTTGTCCCACAGAGGACTTGGAAGAGGAAATGTGCGATGAGGAACGTTATCGCGATATGAACGCTGAAAATCAGCTAAGCCGTTAGTGATCTTCTCCTTCAGAGCTTAGTTTCTAGATCCGATTTGGAATCAGGGGTCTCATTTCCAAATTCATCAGTGAGGTATAAGGCCGCATGATTGCACTCGAAGTGTGCAATAGAAGTGCAATGGACCCGGGTCGATAAAATCTCAGCCGTTTTTCAGTCGCCTCAGGAACGTTGGCCTCGCATGAGCGTTTCCTTTGTTTGTTTAGCACTGCAGGCATCGTAAGTCAGGTGCGGCGTCCATAGAATGAGCACGCAGTGGCGATTGTAATAGCTGTCCATTGCGCGCAGGCGCAGGCATTATACAGTCATGCGTGTTTCCTGATATGTTCAATGTGGTGATTGTTGGGCCGCGGCAGCAGCACTTTGCCACACTGGAGAATCTGGTAACATTTGCCCATAGATGGGTGGTGGGTCGATTAACTGTCGCTCTCATTTTGGGCGTCTATCGTTAGACTCTGGACTTTTGTCGGTTCTGCAATTCGCTTATATGTACCAACTATCCAATCCTCAATAAGTATGGCTTATGAGTGGGATGGGGGTTTGACCGTACCGCAGTCGTTATCATGGATTATATTCGCTACCTCCGTCCGCTCAAGTTGGGATCTGGCGCGCCCCCAGTAAACCAGACCTCTGAAAGATCTAGCTGTGCATTGAAAAGAAGCACTTATTAACTATTTATCCCGTTTTGCGAAAACAGGCGATCTTTGATCTTTTTTCGACGGGGAGTTTGGTGAGATCTGGGTTTAGTGGAATATTGACTTTGGTGAATACGAATATCATACTTGGCCTAAGTTGTTCTGAGCGCCGCCACAGCGCCTACTCTACGCCATTTTGGCCTCGTTCACGCAGGACGCCTTTTTGCATTTTCGCTGATGGATGCTATTCCCGTGTTCAAGAGGATCGAATCTGTCCGGCGGCTCAATTAATTTCATTTTATTCTCTCTCTAACCCGGATATTACGGCGCCGCCAGCCTGCAGCCGAGTCGCTAGGCCAGTTCGGGAGAAGGGATGTCATTCTGTTTCAGGAGCGTCGCAATTATCTATGACGCAAATGTGCCCCGTGCGAAAGCTTGCACTCGTCAAGATCGGTGCGTACACGGTCCTTTTTCCGAACATCAGCCCCACACCAACGCCGACCCGCCGCCCCGACGCATCCTTTATCCTCCTGACCGCTAGTGCTCGTCCCCGGTAGTAATCGCCCATGCCCCGCCTCCCGAGACGATCAACTATCGCGGATTCTTAGATCTACCCCGTTGAGAGCAAGGTTTGAGGTACGGAGTTCCGTTTATTAAGAAGCAGTGCAGTAAGATGTAGAGAGATTCACCGTAATGTCGTTTCTTTCTTTCTTTTTTTTAGAGAGAAGAGGATTTTAGTTCCCGCCCAGCGGCCAAGAAAGGCTGAATTGGCTTTTGATCTAGGGTCTGTCAGTGTACTAGCAGACGGTGACGGAGCGCCCGTGCGGCAGGAGCTATGATCAGCGACAGTCCGCAAACGGAACCATTTCGACCTCCTCACGGCATCAAACTCATGTGGGGCTGAGGTGGTGTAGTTTTTTATATCCATATATGGCGGGAAATTTGCTTTTCGGCGATAACTACGGTTTTTGCTAGAATGTCTCATGCACTGTTTTGCAGCCCGACAATCAGAAACAGAATCATATCATCGAACGCACGGCGCTGTTTGTAGTAACAAAAGGGCCACAAATGGAAATTGTGATCAAAGCCAAGCAAAGGAACAATACAGAACAGGTTTGTTATGAGTGTAAGCAACAGAAGCACCTATTATTCATTGACGGAGGAGCTTCGGGTTTCCATTAGTCCCTATATGATTCTTTTCAGTTTGGATTTCTTGAATTCGACAATCCGCTTCATCCCTACTACAAGTACTTGTCGAAGCTGATACGCGAAAAGAAATACACTCCTAGTTTATCGAAACATGCTAAGGCTAGTGCACAACGTGATGAGAAGGGAGTTGGTTCACCAAAAGTATCGGCCAGTGACAGCAAGGATAAGAGATCGAATGCCCTCACCGCTTTGGCTTCTCGTAAGTTTGAATCTTTTTTTTGCCTAGATTTCTGCACTTATTCACTGATCTTGCAATATGGGAAAATGTCGGCTCAAAGAGTAACCCCGCTATAGTATATCGTGAGAAGTGAAGTTCGGTTACCTCTAGTTGCGAAGTGGCTCCAGGAAAGAAAAAAGCAAAACCTGGAGAACATCTTATGTAAGGACCCCCCCCCGCAGCCTCACCTCAAGCTTTCGGCTTTCAATCCAGTCGTTTTATGCTACTAAAGCGATTTCCCTTTCACCTCTGGCTCACCTGTTTCTTCCAATGATAATCATCTAACAATGAAACCAAAAAAAACGAAAAACACGGCGCAAAAACTGAACTCGTAGCAGAAATTATCCCTGGGTTTTGGAGGACAAGGGAACTGGAGAGGTGTCAGAACTACTTACTGCGAACCTCGAAAAGGTTGGATAATCTTACATGCTTCTCACGTACTGAGGAGCAGACTATCTGCAGAAGGGTTACGAATTACTTGAGCGCGAGGACTGTCTTTAGTAGAACCAAAGGAAAACGAGTTCTCTTATTGTTGAGCGGCCCTTGTGGTTAGGTAAGGCAGCGTTCACACTTCGCGACAGCAGCATTTCGACGCAATCGATCGCCGTGTTTTCTGACTTTGCGTCGATCGAAAGCATGCGCGATGCCTGCCTAAGATGGAACCGCTTGCCTTAGGTCGATATTCCAACTAACCCGTTTACAAGACCTGAAAATGGCTCGATGTTCGCTGTTTGCAATCCGGATTCAATTCTTTGGGCCTTCAATAAACTAATTTCAGAGCACGAAAACGACAGCGATTCTGATTCGGATTGTGAGCTGCATCCATCTCTATTGGGTGGATCACGTAAAGGTGCACGAAGTCCTGACGTAATGGACGGGACAGAAAATGCAGCTGGCCCTAGGCGACGCCCTGCATCTCCATCTCCTCCACGTGTCACAGCACATCGTCATGACTACGATATGAGCACGGTGAGAACTATACTTTTCATTTCCAACTGGTATATCAATTCAGCTTAACGTTTTCAGAGTAACGATATCTATGCGTCGCT